AAAAGTGCTGGTATTAAGACAATATATAAACCCATGCCATGTTTAGGGGACATTTTTGGTAAACCAAAAGACAAGCAGAAGATCACGGAGGTTAAAGGCATTGTTTATAAATTCGAATGTCCAGATTGCTCATTTTAAGTATGTTGGAGAAAGTAAGAGATCGTGAAAATCACGTTGGGCAGAACACAAACCAGGCGTAAGACCGGAGATTAAGTCAGCAATCAAAGACCACGCAGAAAGCACAAGACACAATGCCTCTATTAACAATGCTACAATCTTAAAGAAAAGAGTACATAATTTAGAAAAACGAACGTTCCTCGAGTCGATGCATTCAATATTAGACAATAAAACAATTAACGAACACAAAGAATTCCCACGCATGTATTTATCGCTTGTGCAATCATGTGGCAATAATGACGATATTTAAAACCTTGAACTATCCGAACTGCTCTTAGTACTCTGATGAAGGTTGCAGTTAGCAACCGAAAATTTAGAACTTTTTTAGACTTTTTATTGTACATATTCTAGTATTTTAAAAAGAATTTTAGACCAGCTTCAACTCCAAAACTATCATGTATTCCACTGGGTGTGTATCAAAATAAACGCAATTCATCTTTTGTGCTTAATAACTTTCGAAATACTATTTCTAGTTAAACGCTTTTAGGCTTACTTCAAAGCCTGTTCTTTTCTCTTTCAAACAAACTATTATCCTTGTCTCCAATGCTAATAATAATTGCACAGGAAAAGATTTAGTAAAACCTATCATTTTTAGTTGCTGTTTAATTATGCAAGTTTACTATGTTATTATTTAGTCGGTTTAAATGTTAGAATTTTCTTCTTTAAACTTTAATGTTGTCGTCACTACATCTGGAAAACCACGTAAGAACAAATTAAAAGTATTTAAAAAGAGACTAGTTGTTTGAAAATCCTAAACGAATGCGTCATCGAATTGCGATGTAATGTAAACAGAAATTATAGCAAGAAATTATACCCTGTATATATTGTTCACTCCGTAATATGATAAGTAGAAAATGGTCTCGAGTGTGTATTTCATAATTTCCATACCCAGCGCAAGCAGAAAGATATTGTCTGCCGCGGCTGGGTCTTGAACTTCATAATGGGTCTTATAGTTCATAATTTCCAGTCTTAAATCCGTCTGACCGTGTAGCTCAGTTGGTAGGGCGTCGATCTAAAACACTAATTATTGTTAATCCAACAACCTGTTGGCCGCCAAGAATCCTGACTATCCCGCGTGCAATTACACAGTGCAGACCTTCATCACGGGCTTAAAACTGTAGGGAGCCTCTTTAAGAATGCGTTTTTGACTCGTTTTCACAAATTTTTGACTCGTGTTCACTCGTGTTCGTCAGTTTTTGACTCGTGTTCACTCGTGTTCACAAATTTTTGACTCGTGTTCACTCGTGTTCTGACTCGTGTGGTCTTTTAGAACAGATCATTCATCAGTAATTGTTCTGGAAATGAGAATTTGCTGAAACTTCGATACCAGGCGGACGAAGTTTATGATATGTTCACAGTAAAAACAGAAGGGGTTACCGAACTCGTTTCGACAATATGATAAGTGCACATGCCACGGTTTCCATCGCAATCGTTCAACCGTAATTGAGTTTTTTAACAAGGATCCTACTAAAAATGACTATCCAGTGATTATATACAAGAAGACATGGCATTTTAGCGAATCAAAAACCATTGTGACGTGCATTGTCGTCAGGGGCGGCGCTAACCCTCTTCGAGTGGGGGTGTGTGAGTGATCTTTTGTCGACTGTTGTTTGGTAATTTTGCCGAGTCATGAGCCTATAGTGAGGGTCCTGAAGGGAGGGGGGGGGGTCCCAATCCCATTTTCCACCTGAAATTTTGGCAAAATCCCAGTCCCAGTTGGATTTTTATTAGAAATCCCAGTCCGAGTTATTGAAATCCCAGTCAATAAAAACCCCTTTATTTATCGGTAGAATAAACAGTTTTAAGACCTTTTAAGCCACCGTGTGTGCAAGTGGCGGACATTTTATGAAAAATCGGGGGGAGGGGAGGCTCGTGCCGAAGGCACGGAAAATTTTTAAATTTGAATCCCGGAAATGGCATTTGCATCATTCTGAGACACGCATAATCAGAAAACCCAAAATTCCTGTCGGCATCCATTTTGCAGCCCTCGAAAAGTCAAAATCTCGGCATTTCTTAAAATCTGTTCCACGTCTTGGAGCACTATTAATCACGCATTTAATTTACGAATCATTGAAATCGGAATATAACTGGAACGTTACCTCCAGCCGGAAAATTCGAAAGTTGGAGCCAAATTTTAACTCCAGACGCGCGAAATTTGATCTTCAAACATCTAACGTATATACACAATACACAATACCCGTCAGTTTTTAAACCTTACACCGTAAAAAATTTGCATTGCTGCATGTGTGGTTTCTTTGATGCATGCTATTCATGATATTCGGTTTGAATTCAATTATTCAGGAGGTCAATTTTGGTTCTTCAGTGGTTATCTTTAGCCAATCCAGTTTTGCCGACTGAGATAACAATTTGCCGATTAGCGCCGCCCCTGGTTGTCGTGGTGAAAAGACATATTCTCCCATCTTCTCAGACATGTTATTTTGGGAAGCAAAGCATGCGCGAAAAATGTAAAATATTATAGGTTGCAGAAATGATTTTTCTCTAATTTTCTGATGACATGCATGTAAAACGTACATAAAAACAAAAATATAAAATAAAAATATAGGGTTACGTACCCTATGATGTGGTTTAGTGAGGGCCCTAGCCAGAGTTCTGTCATTTGTGAAGGCATATATTTCCTGAAGCACGCCTAATCAATAAGTGTTTTTTCTCTTTACCTTACTTTTTCTTTGTCACTTTACATTGCAGTTCGGCTGTATATATTAGTTAGAATTTGTTATTAGACATGCGCAGTAAAAGTATACACGGACATCAGATTGCCGGGGGGGGGGGGGACAAGATTAAAAACTGTGTTTGTGTCAGTTTGTGGTAATCTTTTTGTTTCTGGTAAGATCGATTTTCATCCTTACACGAGCGCTACAAAGCATAATTCCGCCAAAATTGAATATATGAATGAATGCCGCCAAAATTGTATGTTTTTGTTGTGATGAGAAAGCGTTCGAGTACGACGAATATGATGTGCTTCTTGAAAAGTGTTTGACCACACATCCAACACATCCGGACTTTCAAAACAACATGCGCACTAAAGATAGATTTGTGTCGTTATCTCGAAGAAAACTGGTGGATCTTGAAAAAATACATAAACTGTATCTCACGGGGTTTCCAGATTTTGGGGAAAATAAGCGAAAAACTTTACCTGCTTGTGTTTTTCAAGAATATGAGAACGGTTCGCTTCGCCTGATATGACCTTTACACGCATTTTAAACATGATGTAGGTACAATTAAAACCGCAAGTAGGAATATATAGGATGAATCTTAGACGTGACTGAGGCAGGAAAGAACTTTCAGTGATTAAAACATCACCGGTGTACTAAAATATTGTGTTCTCAGTTTTGGTTTAGGTTCGCCAATTTCAGGAAAACATCAATTAAATAGGTGTAAAATATATATAAATGTGTAATGTTACATATTGTCGCTTGTGTTCGATGTTTATAGATAATGGATAATGGTAATCGTAATAGTACTCAATAAGATAATGGGTAATGGTAATCGTAATAGTAAGTAATGGTAATTGCCTAAATGATAAGGCAACCATGCATGAAGTCTCTATTATGGTGAATAGTAAAGAAAGCACAAAAAAAGTCAATCATGTAATTGAGCAGCGACATATTCCATACATGTCATCGGACACAATGCATAAGACTGACCAACACATTCCAACCCGTATCATCAACAGGGAACAATCGTTTAAACGTCGGGGAAAACATAATATGAATAACGACAAAATCAGTAAAGCTAAGGTCTCGCAAAGTTACTCTCGACACAATCATAACTCTTCCCCTTACCATGAGCCATTGTCGCTGAAATCGCTTGGAAACTTGCCTCTTATCGCAATATCCAATCCATTTATAATTCAGAAGAAGGAAACCTTTTTAGAAAATCCATCAAATATATTGAATGATAATACAACTAGTACTAAGACAGTACTCAGCATGTGCGCATTGGCCAAATTCCAGCTGATATCTCTGAATTTATTGTCTTAGACGGCGAGGAATGCATGTCTGAGTGTGACAATACTAATAACTGTCCTTTTCGGCAGAGCTTTTTGGAGTGTCCCCCGCCCATGCCTCATGTTCGAAGGGCGGAATGGTTGGCGCATTTAGATCTTGTTCGCCGGCTGACGACAAAGTAATTTCTAAAGAAAATGAGATAGAATCACATGAAAATTACAGTTCGATTCCCGTTCTTGTTCAAAAAATTCCTGTGAGAACAACCCATCGTGTTCAAACTTTCAAAGAAAAATAAATGCAAACCTAGACAATTGAGAACACTACAGCATTGTCCTGAACACATACAAATGGAAAATCAATCGTTTCCAGTACCTAAATCACTGTTTATTAACATATGTAATCTTAAGAAAACGAAAAATCGAGTACAAGCTTCAGTGGCGTTAGAAGCGGATTTATGCGCTTCAGATATTGACATATGTGTCGTGTCGGAAACCCATTTAAACAATAAAATTCCAGACTCCGTTGTTGCAATGACATCATATAACCTATACCGTAGAGATAGAGACTATAATGCAGATACACGAAAAAATGGAGGAATTGCAGTATATCTTCGACAGAACTTGGAAGTAATTCGTGTCTTTCGGGAAACAGAATTAGAACTATTATACTTATTCTCCCAACGGGACATAAAATGTTAGTTATTGGAGCCTATCACCCTCCAAGATTTAGTTATGATGAAACAGATTTTTTGAATCGAATTGTGGAAGTCGTTGACGATTTTTTAGACATTAACCCAAATGGCTTAGTTCCTTTGGTGGAGACATTAATCATTCAAACGTTAGTCAACTTTCCACAATGTCTGGCATGTTGCCTTTGGTAGACTTTCCCACTAGAGGGCAAGCAATTCTTGATAACTGTTATACAAATAGACCGGAACTTTTCAATAAAGCATACCCATTGCCTATACAAATGAAAACAGACCACTTGGGAGTCATAATCCCGGCAGGAATAAAATTGAAGCCCCTCCGCACTAAAATCAGCTTTAGGGACAACAGAGCACAGAATAAAGTCAAATTTCAAAAGAAGCTTGCCGAGAAAAGTTGGTCTGAAGTTACGTCAATGGAAACAGTTGAAGAAGCAACTAAAGTATTGGAGAACACTATCCACAATATGATAGATCAATGTTTTCCAAAGAAAACAGTTACTCTTTCCACTCGTGACCCTCCATCGATGTCTCCACTCTTAAAGTACTTAATAAGAAAAAGATCAAAGGCTAAGTCAAGGAGAAAGCTATCTATTGCGGCAGAATTAAGAGAACGAATATCTGGAATAATTTCACATAATCGAACAAAAATGACAAAGTCCGAGTGTACTGGTACAAGCCAATGGTGGAAAAACGTTGACTTTTTGTCACATAGAAGAAATCTAGCACATATTATACTTGACAACGAGTTCAAAGAAAACTTGAACGATTACTTTGGAGAGTTATGTTGGGATAGAGACTATATATATGAACAGTCAACGTTGATGGAGAGAGATTCAATCACAATAAAAGCTCCTCAGCTTAGCATAACCCAGGTCAAGAACGCTTTGTTGAAAATGATGAAAACTGCAACAGGCCCTGATGAAATCCCATTTTGGGTATGGAAAGAAAATGCTGATGTATTTGCACTTGTTATGACCAAGATTTGGAATGAATCTCTTTCTACATCCACATGGCCTACCTCTTGGAAAATTGCTCATATAGATCCTTTACCAAAGGAATATTGTGAATTTAGAGGTATAAACGTCACACCTGTGATTGGACGATGCTTCGAAAGAACGATTTATCATTATCAAAAAGTAAAAGATCTTTAGTAAAAGATCTTTCGAGGCTGAGTTATCATCTTCCCAGTTTGCTTATCGAATCGGTGGGTGTAGCACAGACGCCTTAATTAAATTACAGTATATGTACCTGAAAGCACTAGAAGAACCAACAAATTGTGATGCAGTGAGATTAATTGCAATGGACTTTTCCAAAGCATTTGACAATGTAAAACACGCAAAACTGAGTGAAAAATTGAAATCGAGTTCTATGAACCCTTATTTAGTAAATTGGTACTTAAATTTCTTAAAAGATCGAAGACAGAGAATAGTTTTCCAAGGAATGACATGCAAGTGGAAAGATATTAACAAGGGAGTTATGCAAGGAACTGTAACCGGACCACATTTCTTTAATTTATTTATTAATGATTTGGAGATCAAAAACTGTTCCAACACCCTCGTTGTTAAATTCGCGGATGATTCCTCACTTTTGGTGCCGATTTTGAAGAATACCCAAGATTGTAGTTCTAAAGCTATAGATCAATTTAAGGACTGTTCCGAATCAAACTCTTTACCTTTAAATGAGGGTAAATGTAAAGAAATGATTATATTAAAGAAAGGACGATCAGAGGATTGTGTAACACCAATTTATGGTTTTGAACGGCACTCTAGTCTTGAAATACTGGGGCTAACCTTTGAAATGACAAGCAGATTTGAGAAATGTGTTAAGAAAAAGTTGATGAAAGCAAATAAATGCTTGTTTGTAATTCGAAAGCTGAGGAATGAAGGATACAGTCAAGACGAATTAGATCTTCTTTTTAGGTCACTGGTCCTGTCACAACTTACCTATGGCTTATCAGTTATTGCTGCATCACCACCGGAATTAACAACTATTCAAAACTTCTTAACTGGTTGTTATAAAAGAAGATACACATCAGAACAAATAGATATTAATATACTGTTAGAGCAGACAGATAGAAAGCTGTTTGAAAAGCTGTGTAAACAAAACAATCATCCGTTAAGAGAAATCTGTCCAAAAATTAAAGAATATACAGTTAAACTTAGAACACAAGAGGCACAGTGGCCAAACATTTCTACCGAGCGTTTTAAAAATAGTTTCATCAATAGATGTATTTTTAGATATAATTTAGCTTTGCAATTTTAATATAACCTAAAAAATTTTTAATGTTCTAAACTTGTAATATATTTTAAAAATTGTTTTGTAACACTTGATATGTAATTTATCAATTGATTAATAATAATAATAATAATAATATAGAGATACTACAGAACATCGACGTTTCGAGCAAAGGCCCTTTGCCGGGAAGTGAATGAAGGGCCTTCACTCGCAACGTTGAAATTCTGCTTGTATTTTCATGTAGGTTGTATCTCACAAATCGCAATTATCGTATCTACCCACACTGGCACAGACCGTTCAAATTCTAAGCGCATCGAACAGCTCAAATATACGCGTTTATTGCAAATATTGTCAAAAATATATCTGTAGAACAGTGATACTTAGCTGAGCGTACTTAAGGGGGCGGGTGGGGGAGGGGCTAGATCCCGTTTTCCCAGCCAAATTTTCTCCAAATCCCATTTCACAGCCCTGTTTTTAGATCAAATCCCAGCCCCACTGTGAAATTGAAAAAAATCACAGAGCAGGTGGTTCACCTATTTGATGACTTTTAAACACAATTCTGCGTTCAATTGTCCTCTTTAATTTGAAATTAGTTTTGCCGAGAAAAAGGTAAATGACTGACTTACAATTGTGGGAAAATGATCTCATTGAGCCATAAGTCGGTTAATCCTGGACTTTTTTGGACAAATTTTCAATAAAAATTGCTATGTAGCTGTTCTTAAGGTTATTTCACTTTGAAATGACCAACTACAACTATCTTATGGGTTTTCCATTCCCATTTTTGCGTCTGTCATTTCCAGTCCCGGCAGTAACCCAAATCCCATTTTTCCAGCCCCAAAATAGGCAAGTCCCAGTCCCCATTTACCCCTTTAGGACCCTCTTAGCTATTGCATAATTACTTAATTGCATTTGCTATGCATCTTTCAATTTTTTGACAAAATGTTATTCAAAATCTCCCTCAATATCTCTCGATTTTTTGCGTGAGACAATCAGGGCTAGTATGAATATACCGTTTAGCTTTCTTGCGGTACGGGTGACAACACGTAAAACACGTTTCACAACTGCAGATAGACTTAATTAAAGGAGGTGATGTACCTAGAAAATATCACCGTTTTTAGTGGAAAGTTTCCAGTATTGTTCCTTAATGCTAAAAGTTGATCTTTATTTCTCAAGAGTTACTCCTGTCAGCTAAAGTTTTAAAATAAACAGACATGCAGGAATTCACAAACAAAACCAGCAGGTCAAATTTAAAGGCGGAGTTAGCACTAATCCAGCTTCGAACAATTGGTCCCTGGACGTTGACGAGGTTCACCTATTAATAGTCGACTACATTTAAGCACAGCCTGTCGAAGGGAATTCTATCTATGCCAGTCAACGTTTATTCATAAATCTGGTCCTTTACCGTCACGTGCGTATTGTACTTTTGCCCAACTGGCCAATAGCATGCAATGTTTCAGGAAAATTTCCTATCCGTGACTCGAACAATAGAGAATTTGCACATGACACAACCATCACAACCGCCGCCATGTTAGTGCTCCAATTCAAAAGATTTTAGTTAGCTAGACTCTTTTGTCAGTAACACCAACATGGCCGCCATGCATGGCTTTTGTTGAGTTGGTTCCTGGGGAATGAGTGCAAACGCTCTATAGGGTCAATTGGAAATTGCCGTTGGTGGATTTAGCAAAAATACAATACACACGTGACGGTGAAGGACCGTATTGATGAGTAAACGTTGACTAACGTAGATAATGAGTTATATTTTTGCCAAATGGATAAAAAATGAGCAAATACGAAATCAGATAAAAAAATGTTAGTCAGAATCGCATATTTTCACCGTTGAGAGTTGGGTCCAAGACTATTGAAAATTAACCCCCTTTGGGACTTAAGTTGATGAAAATTACTTCAATAAACTACGCACATTTTCATAATTATACTTATTAAGTAGGAATAAGTCTTTGCCTTTTAAGCTACGACAAGTTCGTGATTAATTGCTTTTTCACTGGCTTTTGTTACGCACTGCTTTGAAAATATGCGATTCTGACTAACATTTTTAATGGCATCGTACTAGCTTATTTTTTCTCCACTTGGAATGAAAAACATGTCATTCAATAGCTAAAAGCCTGTGATCTTTCCGAATATGAAAAAATTGACATACGCCGAGAAATTCGCGTACAATAGCACGCGCTGAAGTTCGATTACCTCTTTTTATACACCCTGTACAGAGTTGAAATTATACACCCTGTACAGATTAAAAAGGTGAACAGATTTGAAATTGCTCTCAATCTTGAAAAACAGCCATTAGTATGTAGTCTGTGATGTATATAGCTTCTTTGGGTACTTATAAGGTAGAATAATGAAAAAAATTTCTCGAACTCAAATTTTGTGAACCAGGGGGGGGGGGTGTCTTTCCAACAAACTAAAAATTGCTTGCGCACGAAATTTAAAAGCTTTAATCGTATTTTGAGTTAATGTATGGATAATTTGTTGGGTTTTTAATTACTGTACAAAATTTCAGACAATTTGCTTTAGTTTAAGCCCTTTAACTATACATTTTTTCCCTAAAAAATCAGCCTTTCGCATGCTTAATTAATGCCTTTACCTAATTTGCATATTGCTGACATATGCAAATTGGGCAAATGCATAATTAAGCATGCAAATTGCTGATTTTTTAGGAAAAATGTAAGTTTGCGTGAATAGTTGAAAGGCTTGAACTGAAGCAAGTTGTCTGAAATTTCGTGGAGCAATTAAACACCCAACACATATTTCATTCATTAACTCAAAATACGATGATAGCTTTTAAATCTCGTGCGCAAGCCATTTTTAGTTTGTCGGAAAAGACACACACCTCTGGTTTACAAAATTTGTGTTCGAGAATTTTTTTTCATTATTCTACATTATAAGTACCCAAAGAAGCCATATATATAAAAAACTGGATACTGGTAGCTGTTTTGCGAAATTAAGAGCAATTTCAAATCTGATCAGTTTTTTTTTATACGCCCTGTACATATATACACATGAACCTTATGGTTAGAGCTCGACAACTGGCCTCTGAGCACCGGAATCGCAGGGCCGCAGTTCGATTCCTGCATGTAGTTGCATTTTCCGTAGCTGTTCCTGGTTAGGTCTAATAAATGTATATAAAAAATTACTCTCATTATTAGCATGACAAAATTACTGGATGCTGATTGGTTGAGAGGAGTACAATTATTTCATTAACTGTACTGCAGTACAATTAATGATTTTCCCAAAACAAACAAAATGGCGGAAAGGTATTTTATACACAAATGTGAAATGAAATTGCCCTAGAGGAACCAGATGAAAATACGAACAAAGCACCAAATTTTTCTTGAACAAAAGAACTAAATGAAAATACAAACAAAGGCACCAAATTTTGGTTGAAAGTCTGGCAGGACTGGGCTTTGGCGAGAGAATATGATGTTGACATTGAGAAGTACGTATCCAATTTTGTCATGCTAATAACAAACAAGTAATCATGCCATCGATGTTGTTCGTACAATTAGGGATTAATAGTACTCGTGATGTTTGGAAATTTGCCAAATTGGAATTTAGGCAAAATTTCCAAACATCACTCGTACATTTCATCCCTAATTGTACTCGCCATCGCATGATTACCTATACTTAATTTCTATCTATACAGCCTTCAACTATTATTCAATCAAACTGAAACTCCCTGTTTCGTTATCCTCCTCCACAGTGAGAAAAGTAAATAAATAAGTCCCCACCCCACGCAGCGGCTTAACGTATTCGCGATAAATCCCCCCCTGCGTATTGATAGTTCGCTCAATCAGTGACGATTCTATAACGATACGAAGTTTAAACATCTAATGAATCTTGTTCGGGGGAGGGGAGGGGGGGGGGGCTATTACACTTGGTTACAAGAGCAGATAAAATCCGAGAGGGAAAAACTCTCACGGGAATTTGCTTTTTTTACACTATTCTATTTTTTTTGCAAAAAACTACCGTGTGCAGGCAGTGTCGGGAACGTTTGTAATGTGTTGAGCAGTTCATTGTTTTACGAGGCATGCGCAATTATCCACAAGGCTTGTTGGTTAAGAGATTTTAATGCAATATAATTGGTCTTTACAAAATAATTTAATAATAAATATCAAAATAAAACTTGTCTTTGCGTCAAAGTAAAATTTACAGTAAATCTCATTCATATTTATTGTTAGAAAATTGATATGGGTTAACTAAATAAGCTATATTAAGGAACTTTTATTACATTTAAGGATTCTCTTTCTAATTCGAAAACGTAGAACTCGTTGTCCACTCGTTGTTGAATTTTCGAAAATAGTTGATAAAGAATTGAAAGATAAAGAAATTCTATAAACTCGAGAATGAAGGTAATCCGACTTTAGCAGCTCGCGTGCCTTGTACGATATCGAGTTTATCGATTAATTTTTTGCACAGTAACAGAATTCGGGCTTTAGCTCTCTAATGATACCTTTTTCTGTCATTATAAAAGAAAATGACCAAGTACGAATCGAATGAAAATTGCCAATAGCAATTCTTATTTCTCTATCGTACAAAACTATGGAAAATAAATCGCATTTGGATCTAAAATTCAAGAATTTAACTTTAAAAATCCTGAATTCTGAAATTAAATCATTGTTGACAAATGTGGTCACTTCTGTTTTAATATTATTGATTGGCAACATACATTCAGCGATTAATTTCCTGCTGTTTTGTTATATACTGCTGTAACTATGCACAAGATGATTTTGACCAGCAATTTTCGTTCGGCTCGTATTTCGTCATTTTTACTTGCAATGATACAAAAAGTGTCATTCAAAAAAAAATAAACCCTAATATTTATTAATATGGAAAAATGAAATATGTGTACTTAAGGTGGCTCGATATAGTTATCACAACATTTTACAAAAACATTTTACCGAAGAGAACGACATTTTCGCATTTTCCGAAAAAATAGCATTACAAAATTTTTTTATATTTTGCTAATTGTTAGCTTTTCGTCCAAGTACAATAATGCACGAAAAAAAATGGGGGTCACCATGCTTCTTTTCCAACTATACGAGACGATAGACCATTTTGGAGTAAATTTCATAGCAACGAACTATCTGTTACTAAAACTAATATAATTTGAAAGTAGGGATATCAAAATATGTAAAAAGCCCAATATCTGCTGAATGAATCCTAAAAATGCGTAGTTTGAACATGTCAAAGTGTTGAACACGTGAATTTTTGAAAACTGTATCGAGCCACCTTAATAATGAGTACAGACGAGGAAGCTAAAGTTGGATTACCTTTTTTGGTACACCCTGTATAGCACTTCTTCACACAAAAATAATTTGGTTAAGATAAATGCCTTCAGGCATTCATCACAAATTTCAACGCCAGACAATGATTTATGGATGAAAGCAAATCTTGCATAAACCGTAACTGTTTTTTTAAACATAAATCATATGCAGGCGACAAAATCTAACTAAAAATGCCAGCGTGAAATGCTTAATAGTTCTGACGGCTGGTTGTATAAAAGACATACTTTAACTACCCGTTTTGTGGTTAAATAGTAGTTAACTCTGAAATACGCGAATGTGATTGGTTAACTTTTACACTAACTATAGTTTAACTACATTTTTTATACAACCGGCCCCTGTACAAATGCACATTAACTTAAATTTGGCAATTATTAATTCATTTACTATTCATAATGTGAATACAGGTCGATGAATTTAGTAAAATACCGACAAATTTTACTACACTTTTCAGCATGCAGAGCTGAAAACTTCAGCGAGTACTTGATGATGCAATTTCCCACTTGTATTGAAAGACTGAAAAAACAGTTTTCAAATTGAGGTGTTACACGCAATTTTAAAGAAAAATATTAAATGAAACTAAAGTCCCGTTTGATAATGACCATTTGACATAGCGGATTACATATAATATAAATTAATGAAGGTGTGACATTGCGAAGGTAGTTGCAAGAAAGTATATTACGAAATTGTACGGAAAAATATAACTAATTTTCTAATTCTACTGGGTGTCCTCCAAAAAACTGGACACTGTTTGATTTCATGTAACGTAAAAGCTATAAAAGCTATCGAAATGAAATAAAGATAATTACATCCTAACTTAGATTTTGATATATAGCACTTGAATTTACATGCAATATTGGCTGCGCTACTGATGTTTGAACGTTGAACTACTGTTTTTGAAAATGCCAAAAATTAGCATAAAACAACCTTATAATTACCGGTGTAGTTATACTTGTTAAATAATAAATATTTTGATTGTTTTTCGCTCAATATTGCATGTAAATTCAAGTGTTATGTATATCACAATCTAAGTTAGTCCTTTCTGAATGCAATGATCTTTATTTCATTGCGATAGCTTTTATAGCTTTTACGTTACATGAAATCAAGCAGTGTCCATGCAGGTTTTTTGGGACACCTGGTAGGCTTATCTGGGAGGAGGCTGCGGTGTCAAATAACTAGGGATCCAAGGATAGTGCAATGTTTCTGAAAACTTGAAAAGTCATTACGGTAATATCAAATCTTTCAAACATATTGTTCATAGTTTTGCAATTCATTTGTCCAAATGATTAGTTTTGTCGATATCCCTGTATATTATTTTGTAGCATCTCAATTTATTTAATATACAGAACGCAGACAAAATTATACTTACGATAAGATTAGGCCGATAATTTCGGCCACATCACACATATCACACATTAATTGCCAAAACAGTAAATTTGCCAACTTGGCAACTTTTTATAAACGTAAACATTGTCATTGACATTGACATTGTATTGAAATAAATGTAACACGATGACCTACGAACTGTACCTAAGACATAATAAATTTTAATCTTGAATTCAATTAAATATTGAAACAAAGGCTTTGTTATTAAAAGCTAGTATATATATCTCGATTAGTATTATGCCAACAGCAAACTTCGCGCTTGTTATTATCCTTTTACTTCAATTACGGCACAAAAACCAAATATCTTAATATCTCTCCATATAACTAGCCATATCAATAAAACTCATTGCGGCTGTCTGCATGTGCACAGGCTACAATATGCGGGCCTTGAATAAATGAATAATTAAAATATTACAAAAAATTCTGTCAAATTCTGCGACACCTATTGATGGTATACCGTCTGTTTACAGACTGTATATACTATGAGACTATACAGCACGCAAGTTATATTTTTATATCAGAAAAATGCTGTTTTTATATGACTATACTTTTATTGCAGATTAATTTTCATATAAAGATAGATTAGGGTTGAAATTATAGATTTAATATAAACGAGCGTGCTATATATGTGGAACCAGAGCTGTAGACAAACATTTATATATAGACATGATATTGCATGTTATAGTGCACGGGGATATTATATTTCATGTTATTTATAAAATAACGTGTCTGCCTATACTGGCTACAGTCATAGAAAGAATAAAATATAGTTGTACAACTAAACTGATTTCGTGACATAAATTGAGCTACGAGATTTAAATTGAAATATAAGAAAATCATAAATAGAAGTGCAAAAACTCGGGCCTCGTATGAAATGCAGCGAGTTGAAGCCCCGAAATAGAGTCTAAAATTGCATAGAAATAATACATACCCATGTTAAATCGTTTGCCCAAGGCCTGTTCTAAAATTTCGACCAGCACTCATACGCGTCGTCATATTTATTTGTGCATGCTGATTTTGCTGAGTTGCAGTTCTCACGAAAATTTGATGATACGGGGGGTGCTAATGGCACGAATCCCCATATTTGTTATCTCAGTAAACTTTTAACATTGCTGTAATGTAGACGTTTAAACATTGATCGTCAAGCTAAATCAAATTTAAGAAATTTTACTGTTGCTATAAATACCGTTTTAACGTTAAAAATTCTCCAACCTTGAAGTTATTTTAGATATGGCATTGAGATAACATTTGTAACTCCCCCCGGAAAGTTTACTCTATGTATCTCTCGCTTGAATTTCGCCACTCATCACAATAGTGCAACGTTTCCATGGAAACATTGCACTAAAAACGAAACTTCGACGTTTAATTCGAGCAAAGGCCATTCATCGGGAAGTTAGTGGAATGCATGGATCGGGAAAATTAGATGACACATTTGCTTTTATACTAGTGAATATAAAAGCGATCACGTGACAAAAAATAAACCATTCAGACGGATTTATTCAAAAACAAAGTGTAACCAAAAAATGTAAATCACATCACAGAATATTTTAGGTTTTCGTTAGTTAGGGCTACACAATATATTAAACGTTTACACATAAAAGTGTCTCACGCACAATGCCCTAAGTACTAATTGTTCGTGCAATAAAGCGTACGCACTATAAAGCGTACGCACGGCTCTGTTCGCACACCATTGTTCGTACAAAACTGTTCGTACGTTGTTATTAACATTCAAATAAAAGCTGAATAAATCACATCACAATCAATCAGCCAACATGCAGTGTAAAGCAGACATCGTTGGGATCCTTGACATGGACGGATTTCATATTGGAAAGAAATTTTTCTGTAAGGAGTTGGGAGTCATAAAGGTCGGAGACTCTGAAGCCTCATCGTTCTTTTTTGATATTGGCTTACACTATTATTATTATTATTATTATTAAAAACATCTTTAAATACGGTGACTAATCAACCAGTATTAAAATATTTACAAATCGAAAGGTTGCTTTTCATTAGGCCGTGATGAACACAAACTACAACGCCCCCTCCTTCCCCAAGTGAACCCCTCCCAAAAAGTGTAAAAGATACAGTTACTATTTATTTAACTGACTACCCCTCCTCCCCCCAGTGAAGCCCTCCCAAAAAGTGTAAAAAATACAGTTACTACTAAGTTAACTGACACTTTGGTTCCAGACTTTAGCAGCAGCATATCTGAATGTTCTTTTCAAAGAATTAGTTTTTGGTTTCGCTAGTACAAGCTTGCTATTGTTGCTTCTTAAGTCGTATCGTTCAGAATTGGACATTATACACATGTTCGAAATGTTTTCAGGGCATTGGCATGCAAGAGCCTTAGACACACATGGAACGGGCTCAACGAGAAAGACAAGAGAACGTGTAACTTCGTCAAGAAAAAGATACATAAAGTGGAGTGCCACGGGGACTTTGGAGTGCCACGGAAAGCATTTCAAATTTCGGACTTGCAGGCAATTGTAGAGAATTTCTACCGTGAAATACAGATAGATTCAAACTCTACAATTGCCTTCAAAGGCGGACATTACGAAAGGGATTTGCTGGCGAGTCTCCGTATTCCGGCCGTAAATTTGGAATGCTTTAATTGTCCCAAAGCTGAAAAACTATTTGATCAACTGATCTGGTTAGAAACCTGCGGGAATCATTTGGAAAGCAACGCTTATCAACACTGCGCAAAAGTCGAAGTCGAGACCTTTGCGATGTGGCTGCAGCAGTAAAGACAAACACAAAACACCGGTTCTTTTAAGAACCACCAAATTTACAAAAACAATAAAAACGAAACACCGTTATTAATATATTTACACTGAATCATTCAATCTCAAAGTTTACTTCTCAAATATTCGACATATGCCTTATAATGATCTTCTTCATGATTTCTAAATTGTTCGCCTGTCGCTTTCACTTTCACGCTTGGACGTACACCAAGTACGAACTCTTGGACGTACACTAAGTACGAACGCTCGGACGTACTCCCCTGTTGACGTCATACATACATTCGTTTGAATACTAATTACTTCCGTTATTGAATGGGGGGGGGGGTTACCTACTGCGGAGGTTGTTAATATCTAGCCTTTCTCACGAAGGTCATTATCATATCATAATTATTTCATATTGCTTTTGTGATTTGTATACAATGGCTTCAACGAGCATGACAAATCCTGTTGCTATTCAACTATGTGAAGCCGGCATTGTAAATGCTTTGTTGATAAGGCATTTCTCTGTTCGACCACCTGCCAAACAAAATGTTATTGTTAACGAGCGACTAACTCCGAACTTAACGAGTAAGAATAAGGGAAGGTCGTTTACGAAGGAGTGGTATTGCAAAAATGATTGGCTTTGTGGAAGCTCTATTTTAGAAAATTGTCCTGTTGGCTTCGTCTTTTGTTTTGCCCGGGAACTTCACCAACGTGGACAAAGACTGGCTACACCGACACGAGAAGTTTAATGTCTGATGGCAGGAAATACGAGAAGACGAAGTTGCTCTTAGCTGCTTTCAAAATGTGGAAAACGTATGGAGTGAATGTGCGAGTGGATTCTCTTTTTCACAAGCACGGAGAGATGAAATTCAGCGTCACAACGAAGAGGTAAGACAAAACCGTGAAATTTTAAAAACAGTTACAGAAGCAGTATTGTATTTGTCTAAGCAGGAGTTCGCATTCAGAGGTCATGACGGATCAGAAGACAGCTTGAATAAAGGTAATTATAGAGTTAGGTAATTATGAGTTACTTGAGTCTTTTGCCAAGTTTGATTCTGTATTTGAACGAAGATTACATGGTAGATTGGCTGAATCTGATGCTTCCACCAAAGAGCAGGTAAGTATGATTGTCCGTTTAGATAAAGATAGTGGCTTACTGTACTATGTTAATAGTTCTGTTTATTCGTGTGTGTTTTTTACAAGATGTTATAGAGCAGTGTCTTTATTTTGTATCCAGCGCTTCAAAATACATGTACAGACTGGATTGAAGTTGTAAGAACTTTGTTTCTTCTCTTCGTATTGATGAATTGAACTGACTATATGACCGGCAGAGCCGGTCACGGTTTATCAAATACTAAATGGCAGTACAGCGACTATAGACATAGTTAAAGTTGAATTTTTATAAGATAAACCGATCCCCAAGACCCCAACCTTTCTCTAATCCTAACCCCTAACCTTTTGAGAGTTAGACCAGCTGCCGGTAATATAGTCACTTAGTTTTTATATAGTTTTATATAGTCATCCTCCGGAATTTTTACTCCAGCAGGAATAGTTTGCGTATTCACTAAACGCCTAGTACCTAGTTTACCGTTTAGAACGCGGAGCATCGCGGGATAGCGTCGTTTTAAATTTTTTGTTAAAAATTTTACAATATGGAATTAAAGAGCGCTTTGAAGGCGATTTAAATGGCAAATAACGATGGGAATGGCATCAGAAAGTCCTTAAAATGTTATTCAGATCTCACAGGTAAGAATAATTGTATATTAAGAATAATTGTATATTTGACTTGTTATTTAAACACATTCATTGCGAAATGTAGTGAATATGATTGTTTACTTGAGCGATGTGTCTGAAAATATTCCACTGAATTTGCCGCGTTCGTTTTGCATATAAAACATGCATATGTTGCTTTCAGGCAAGGGACGGAAGATTAAAATATAAATTCAAATCTATTATTGTGAATTCCATACTAATTTACGCACTAATATTAACAATTTGACAATATTAAATTGCCTTTGACATTGGCATTTTGCTTGACCTTTGTCAAGACTCAAGGGTATGAGTGTTTATGTGAAGAAATTTTCATCCCGATTAGCAAGATTGTGGCAACAGAGCCAGCTCGCTTGAGGATACTTTTTTTCTAGATAAAAAATACCTACGCAGTAAGATCTTGCTTACTGGGCTGTCTCACTAAGCGATCCAGCCCAACTTTCATAAATACAGCCACTTTGAAGTAGGCTTACTCTGTACAACAGCTTACGAAGTTGGTAAACTTACTAAAGAGAGATGTTGTGGTTGTGAATACGACCATCCGAGTCAACGCCAGCATGACTGTCTCATGTTATCAGAACAAGAGAGATGGCAATCGTATGGTTTGGAAGCCATGGAGCGAGTGATTGTTAAGCGTATGGTTTGGAGGGAGTTTGTTGAAGCTATTAGAGTGATGAAGTTACAGTATCATAAAGATGTTCGTGAGCATTTCGACAATTTAGAGAAAAGTCCTGATTCAACGTTTGTTTACTCGCTGATGGATCTTCGTGAAAACACCGAGGATAATGAATTTGAGTCAATTTTGAATTATCTTTCATACTGGAGAGAGGACAAATTCTGAGGACATGAACAAGTTTGGGCAAGATCATTACGTCACCGGAAGCGGTCGTACTTTAACGATATACAAGGATGGGATCGTGCGCCAGTTTTCATTACTTGCCAACAGAACTGTACGATGGAGTGCTTACATGGAAAACCTGCTGCTAATTCCACAACAAGCAATGGATCATTTTGGTTTTGTGGTCAAAATTCCAGTTGCAATTTCTTTTGTACAGAAGACGAAGGCTACATGTATGAAAAAGCCATAACAGCTTGGAGATGTACGGAGCAGCCTCATCCTCGGTGCGATGGACATCATAAACTTGCGAAAATGTGTGTGGTGAAAAATTTGATGAATGTGAATTATGGAAGACCATTCTTCGTGTGTGGAGAAAAGGCGAAGCCGTGCTCCTTTTGGATGTGGGGTGATGTACAGCCGTTAGCGAAACCCGAGTGCCGTCATGGATTACCGTGCGCGGTTCGAAAGGTGAAGAAAGAAGGACTCCACAAAGATCGATTGTTCTTCTGTTGTTCGAATGACAAGGAGAGTACGTGTCGGTTTTTCGAGTGGGCACCTCAGGAAGAAGTTATACCCTTTGAATTCGTGTACGCTTAACCTTTGCGTGCGACCACACGGGGGTACAAACAGGAAGAAAACTCAACTAGTACGTACATGTACTGCCTTAAATCAAATAAAGAGAACGAACAGGGCATTTAGGCTAGTACTCGCAATGGAGAAGAAGCAAAAAGAAGCCGAGCGCTCACGAAGAAATCGAAGGAAACGGAAAAATGAATTTGAAAAATATAAGGAATTCTATGAGTATGCTATTGAGAACAACATGCCATTTGTGCAAGAATTCGAAGCAAAACGGCAGCGTCGTCAGCAAAAGGAAACAGTCATAGAACCAGTGGTCGAAGAGAAACAACCGGACACGAGTAGTTCGGCAGTGGTAGATATTGATGATATGTTAGATGTTGACTTCAGCGGTTTTGAGTGGTAAAAAGAAGAAACAAAAACACCACTACTTTTACAAAAAAGAATATTGAACGAAACTCGATGTTCATGCATTCACATCTTGTATACATGCACGCTCCCTCTGAATTTCCATCGCTAAGACACACGCATACACATTTTAAACATCCTATAATTGACACAGAATCCTCTAATATCAGAAAGTTCTATAATACAGAAAGTTATGCTTTAAACAAAATTTATAAAGCCTTAAAGCAAAAGCTTGAACTCCTCAACTTCATCAAGAGTTGCATGACGATCTTTTCCAAAGTTTTTAAAATGTTCTGATGCGTGCTCAACAGTGAGATAAAGGAGTAACACGTTTTCCTACTGATTTTAAGAGCAAAATATTATTGCCAAAGCTACAACGTGCAGGTTGACTACATGCATCAATTAACACATGCCACATGGATTAACCTTTGTACCGACGCGACAGTTATATCGCACGCAAAAAACACAAATTAATGTTTTAAACTATCTAATTCAGGCATAAACTAATACACAAAATTATGCTTTAAACAATTTATTTCTCAAAGCAACAGCCATACATCAATAAACAAATGTATAAAGCTATACACAATATATTAAACGTTTACACATAAAAATGTCTCACGCACAAATCTCCTAAGTACTAATTGTTCGTGCAATAAGGCGTACGCACGGCTCTGTTCACACTCAATTGTTTGTACAAAACTGTTCGTACGTTGTTATTGACATTCAAATAAAAAAGCAGCCGAATAAATCACATCACAATCAATCAGCCAACATGCAGTGTAAAGCAGACATCGTTGGGATCCTTGACATGGACGGATTTCAAATTGGAAAGAAATTTTTCTGTAAGGAGTTGGGAGTCATAAAGGTCGGAGACTCTGAAGCCTCGTCGTTCTTTTTCGATATTGGCTTACACTGGAACGAGCTCAACGAGAAAGACAAGAGAACGTCTAACTTCGGCCAGAAGAATATACATAGACTCCCGTTTGAAGTTCCACGGGGCACTAAAGCATTTCAAATTTCGGACTTCCAGGCAATTGTAGAGAATTTCTACCGTGAAATACAGATAGATTCAAACTCTACAATTGCCTTCAAAGGCGGACATAACGAAAGGGATTTCGGGCGAGTCTCCGTATTCCGGCCGTAAATTTGGAATGCAGGTCAGGCTCGGCTCAGTTCGCTTTGTAGGATTTCTATTCACATAGACATTATAAAACTTAAGTGGCACATTTTAATATGGGTTCCAAGGCTGCATTTGTAATTATTAGTGAATTAGGTTTCATTTCTTTGAAGAAATGCCTAGAAAAGCTGATAATTTACAGTTTAATAAAGCTAATCATCGAAACAAAGCTGGGACCAAAAAAAGAAGAAAAGTGCTATGGGGCAAAAAAGGTACCACATATGAAGCAGGGGCTTTCTAAAGTGGTAATATCATGTAATTTTACATATATATTCACTATTATTATACTATATAGCTTTTTCACATTATTAATTAAAGATAGCTTACATGCATGGGTAAGCAAACGAAGTTATTAAAGAATTGTAAGGATTTGAAGAGTTGTGCTCAGTCGTGCAAAGAGGTCAGTTTGAACGAATATTAAGACCCGAGTTCTCTTTGTCGGATATCCATCCACAAAGATATCTTGAAGTCAAAGAAAGATGCACATACCTTGCATTAGCAAGTTACTTGTTAAATTTGTTGAAAAGCCCAAAAGACTTGCATTCCTTTATGAGTAAAGGGTACCTGGGTAAAGGGTACCCTTACCGGAACCTTGCCGTCGACCCCGCACCAAACCCCATCCCGGACCACAACCGCAACCCCAGTCAGGACCTTAACCCCAATTGCAACATTACCCCAAAACTCGACCACAATCCCACCCGGAACCTTTACCCCTACCGGAACCTTGCCGCCGACCACGCCCCAAACCCCATCCCGGACCACAACCGCAACCCTAGTCCGGACCCACCGTATCTCATTATTGGACTATCAGTAGGAACGCTTCTATTGCTCCTGGGTTTTGCTTTACAGTTATAGGAAAGTAGCGAAAACATAATAGCATTATCCCACACTACATTGCAAGTATAAATATTACTTTCATTACTTTTTTTATAACCACAAGTCTCACGTATGTAAAAAGAACTATATGTACAATTTATGAACACTAATATACACTGAAGCTCTTAACATGTGCTGCGTATATGATTTTAACAGGGCTGTACATTTTAGTGTGTTTTAAAGGGAGTAGATCTTACTTTGGATGTATAGGCTAAAATGAACAGTATAGAATTAATAGTATTTCGTATTAATATTACAAATTGTTTCAAGGGCGTGTAGACGTATGTTTACTTTTGTATAAACTTTATGTCAGATAATATATTATAAGCTATCGGATTTTCCTGTCAAACACACGAGTGTTTATCGGAACATAATCACTTAAAGCAGAAGTCATTAAAACATAGATACCGTTTCCGCTTTGTAAGTTTCACGTCTCCTTTACAATAGAACATTTTGTACGTAAGCTATTTTTATACAGTCGTCATTTCAGAGATGTCATTATAAATTAACTCAACAGGAAGTCATTGCGAACTCTGTGAGACACACCCTAAATTAAATTGTTATTGATAACAGAACAATAGGTGGTCATATACCTTTAAATGGCGATTTTGTAAAAAAAATTTTTTTCTCAATTAGGTATTTTATGTAGTATACTTTAAGATAACATGGTTTGTTTCGGTGAAAAATATTTATTTTATGAGAAAAACGGACTAAAACAGGGTGGACTTTAAAATTTACTACTTAGCAACGCCATAGCAACACGTATTTCGCACATTGATATGAAGAAAAGAAATGGGTATTCAAATTACGTTGTCTTGCAATGTAAAAATATGGACTGTGAGTGGAAACATTGTTTCAACACTTCAAAGAAGCAATGACATTCACATGAAGTGAATGTTAGAGCAGTTCTAGCCTTTCGAGAAATAGGTCGAGGACACAGTGCCATGACTACATTTAACAAGGTTATGAAATTCAATACAGATGAGGAACTGGTGACTTGTCCTCATTGTCATATAACCATGCTGCGTAACACATGCTCCACCAAATTGGTGTGCAACTTAACTGTTAAAACATCCAGTGGAAAGTTAAACATGCTTCAATGATGCTGTACAGAGTTTCCTTGCATCGATTAAGAGGGACATCAGTGTCGAAGTGATATCACATAAAGAATTGGACTATGTTGCTTCAAAGCGTGTTGACTGGTAAAGCTCGTGATATTATGCGGAACCAGTGATTATGATACAGTCAAGGAATTAATCCTAAAAGGATACGAGTTGGTTCCCGAACCTTATCTTCAAAAACTTCGGAACCTTGATAAAAACATAAACCAGACTTGCGTTCAGTTTGCGCAAGAGAAGGAACAACTTTTTGATCGCTGGTGCCTTTTGTAAGACAAATAAAGCGTACAAACGTTTATGCGAATTACTGCTACTTGAGGAATTTAATTGGTGCATCAATATGACAATAATGACATACGTACGTTTACAAACGAACAGAAGAAAAAAATATTTAACAGCCGCCGCTTGCTTGGCAGACGAATATACACTCACACATAAATTAAGATTCGATGACAACTGACAATGGGACAGAAATGAAGAAGAAATGGACTCTTGGACACTGTTGATCGAAGAAGCAAAGCAAAGAAGTAATATAGCTTTTGAGGAAATGAAAGAAATCATTATAAACTGATTGGTCTAGGTGAGCAATCCGCTAAGGACAAAGCTTACTCTAATATTCTGCCTAAACTCCAGAAGGAACTTGAAAATATTTATATGGAGCGTCTCGTGTGGATGAAGCAACTAAAGAAAGATCCAGTACATAAGAAAATAATACAGACGAAGGATGCGCTTGTGGGAAACGATGATCTTGATCCAGAGAAAGCTGCTATTCATAAAAGCAAATTTCTTATAAAAAGACTTTTATAGGACTACGATTTTGTTGAAGACAATAATGAACTGATCTAGAGTGATGATTAGAATAGGTCAAACGGCACATAAGCTGCATGTAACTTCGAGTCACTAAATAAATCGCTTTTCAATTATGATTCAAGATACGATGTGTAATTTGATTAAAACAAAAAGACAAAACTAACTCTGCTCTTCTTTCAGATAACCACCAGAAATATTTAATTTTGTAAAATTATCATACTTTAAGAAATAAATTGTTAATTTGTGTGTTATTGTCACACTTTAAGAAATAAAAAAATATCTTAAACATCTTTAAGAAACAAATAAAAAAATTTGTGTTAATTTACGTAAACAAAGCGGTGCCCTAGCAACATTATTTTGTTCTAAAATCAGTACGGTTTCGCATCCGTGTTACCCCCTTTTGAAACAAAAAGATAAAGAAAAGATAAGGTTCCGCGAATTATGGATTAAGAAAATAAAGAGTTATTAAAATTACGGACACTTCACGAATACTTGTTAAAGAAAGACCCCGAACGGTTAAAAGAGTTCGAGATGCAATACATAGATAACGAAGTAACCTCTCAAGGCGAAACTAACACTCAAGTGGTGCTTAATGGACTGCCACCACAAGTCCCGCCAGCACCTCAAGCCGTGACTGCCACCACTCCGAACACAGGACTTTGCTGCATTACAACCCAAAGACAAGGAGAGAAAGTATTACACCAATGTACTTGTTAATGACGAAAAAGTTAGCGTATTCTGCCTCCAAAATACTCGAGAAAGCGTCACCATTCCACAATTTTGTTCACAATTGCTATGTTCACAATTGCTATGTTCACAATTGCTATGTATGCTACGCAGTATCTTTTGTGAGTGCCGGACTAAAGAGGAAACTTAGTCGTAAATTTCCCCACATCATTAAATGATCTAATTAAAAAGTGAGAAAATCAACATGTTACTGCTAGTCTTTATGGTACCTGACAAATTCCTGATAGCACCCGCTTGGAGACACCACGTTTCATCACAACACGACCAAACTGAACTACCTTAGTTAACTTAAAGGACAGGGCCGGCACTAGACCTCTTTGAATGGGGGGAAAGTTTACTTTGCTGACTTATGAAGGGAAATTTTGCAAAGAATTAACTATAAAACTAAAACTTAACTATACTAACCATGCACTTAACATTAATCTTTATTAATTAACTAGTTACTGATAAGTTGTTTTCCTTTCTTTCTATTCATTTGTTAAAAAGCAAAAGAATTGCATAACCAACTACATTCACCTCCCACCACCACCGAAACGCAGGCGTGTAACCATACCTCCAACCCACGTGACAAACGACGACAAACGCGGTGTTGGTCGGCCAACGAGATTCGAAACGCTAACCAAAACTGGCCCACGAAACACAAGAAAAACCAACAATCTATAGCAATGATTTAATCCTTCTTGGAAATGATGCAACAGAAAGAAAAAGAAGAACCGTACTTACAAAATCCGCTACAAACATTACTTACTGCAGTTTGCTTTTGAGCAACTCAAGGCAATGTTGCAACCTGCTCCTGTGTTGTCTGCACCTGACTTCACACGCCCATTCAAGTTAGCTGTTGATGCAAGTGATGTTGCAGCTGGTGGTATATTACTCCAAGAAGACCAAGATGGAATTGACCATCCGGTATGTTATTTTTCCAGAAAATTCAATAAAATACCGCACTGAAAGATACAGGAACAGTTTCTTTCCTGCAATGGCATATATGTTGTATTAAAACGACCATAGCTAATTAATGACTATAGATTATTTTATCGTAACTTTAGTAGTTTTTAGTAATATTATCTGATTTTAATGTAAGACAGTTTCACCATTTTTAAATTCCGGCGCATTTGTAATTTGTTGTATTTGTACATAACTTTCTTGTAAACATATTGCAATTCACATACGTGTGCGAAAATATGTAATAAATCATAACAATAATAATAATAATAATAATAATAATAATAATCAGAAACATTCCACCATTGAAAGAGAATGTCTTGCCCTCATCCTCGCCCTAGAACTCTTTAATGTTTACGTTTCCTCCCCCCGAATTTCCCCTCATTGTGCACAGTGACCACAACCCCCTCGTGTTCCTCCACAAGTTAAAGAATAAGAATCAACGTTTATTGCGAAGCAGCTTGATTCTATATGTACAATATGAGTACAATATGAACATAAACCATAACAAAGGGCGAGACAACTTGATCGGGGACTGTCTCTCAAGACCACGAACATATTCCATGAGAACTTGAAAGAAAGTCTATCCAACTTTTTTTTCTTCAAGGAGGAGGGTTTTACATGATAGCTATTATCATGTATATGTGATAGCGATTATCATGTATATTTTACAACATTTCATATTACACATCAATACATTTTATCATTTTACGCAAATATCTATACTCGACTTTCATGAAAAACAACTACCCTAGGAACTTCAAAACTACCGTAAAGGTAAGTTTTCAAACCGGCGACCAAGTACTTGGCTTTCCTCCGGTCCCTGGAACATCCTTGCATGCTGGGTATTTTGCCAATCCGGCCGGAACCGGATTTGGACAAAAATTCCGGCCGGAGGCCGGAATTTGAAATCCGGTGCACCCCTATATTTTGGCCCGTATGTTGTGGAAAAGGAGAATGAATTAAATTATGTAATAGTCACGCCCGATAGATGCAAGAATAAACAGCTTTGCCATGTAAATATGTTAAAGCCTTATCACGAAAGAAAGAAAGTGATTAATGCAGTTAGTTCAGGTAGTAATGATAATCATACAGCTGAAGAGCTGGAACTTTTTAACTTATCTGAAACAACTAAACTGAGCAACTCGGACATTCTTCGGCAAATGGATTCCAAACTGACGCACCTTGAGCAAAGCCAACAAGAGGGTATACAAGAACTCGTACGAGAGCATTCTGATTTATTTCCTGATGTACTTGTTACGAAAGTATATCTAAATAGTATAAAAAATAGTTCAATTTGCACCCCAGGAAATTATAGATACTAGTTACGTCAAATGGAGAGATAATGAGCATTTTTGCTGTAAAACTCAGAAAAGTATATATCATTTCGGACGTGCGTAAAAATGTCAATTATCTGTCCATTAGGCAAGATAAATGATTTGTCAAACTGTCAAAGTTGGACGATAGCCTTGCATGGTGGGCTGTTGTGTTTACATAATTCAAAGTCCAAGGCTGCTTCTTCTCTGACATGAAAATGTGCATGCTTAGGGCCTTTCTGTCAATCATTCTTAGGTATATTTCGCGCGGTTGAGTAAGAATAACATTACGTCATCAAAATCTTGGTTCAATAAAATTGCAAGTAAATTTAGTTTAGTAGGTAAAGTAAGGTTCACATAGGTATAGTTTGAAGTTTTTACTATGATATTTTGATGAGTATTTTAAGTTGTGAACATATTTTAACATTGATCGATTGAACAGCGAACCAACTCGACCAGTGCGACAACGCCTTAAATAAACAGAATGTGGGAGCTGGAACGAGCTAGCAACGCCAACCCACACTTTTAAACTTCAACGTTGATTGGCTGGATACAAATCACACCACTTGCTACATCACGTGTTCAAAGATCCCCTCAACCGTTAGTATAAAAGTGCGCGCACAACCCAAATTCGTCAGTGGACTCAACGAAGTAAAAATTATGTATGAAAAGTTGTAGAAAGCTCAAACGCAACAAGACAAAACGAAGAAATTAACGAACAGATCACGAACAGTGAAAGCCAGTTGAAGGCTGAAGTGAACTCTTGGAAAACTACTGCAAGAAGACGAACATTAAAAACTGATAGTTATTAGAGGTTGATTGTAAACGATTCCCTACCTCGCGTAGAAAAAAGAAATAAAATATATATCTCTAACAACTGGTGGAGGAACGACCTGATGAATTGTCAATGTTTTTTGGCGGCGTTGTTCGTCATTAAACTTGTAGCCGCAGTTTCTGGGACAATTGTTCCGCCAGATCACTTTGAAGATCGAGGTAACCTTCCAGCCGAGTGCTACAATCCAAGTGGTAATATCATGTCTCTCCTCACGGAGGATACAGTTTGGAAACCCCCGTGGTTGAAAGTACGAACATGACGCAGATATTGCTATAACTTCAAATTCTGGATAACGACAGACTTTGATGAAAACAGACTTGAAATTGGACACCCTTAAGTTTTGTATATATATTTTATTATTTGCATTATGGTATATTACTAGTTTTCGACTGAAAGTGCATGCGATGTGTGTATTTTTTCCTTATTATTTGTGTATTTTTCCTTATTATTATAGCCAGACTCGTGAGAATATATATATGCCAACCAAAATATCTTAGGTACACTCAACACGTATACATGTTGCCGTAGGTTAGCGCATGCATGAAATTAGTTGGGTCAGATTTTAAAAAAAGTATTAACTAATCATTTTTATGTGTTTCAACTTTGTTCGTATATTACTTTATATTTTTCTCTCTCCCCGGGACAGTCAAAGGGTCTCCCATTCTTTTTGTACGGATTAGGATTTCTTTTCAAGCCAAAAGCTTAAATATTAGGCACGTTCTTGTTTTCTCTATGTAGATTCGGTATACTTTTCTGTTGGATGAAAACCTACATTTTGGAGTTTGATACGCTGCGCATGATGTTTGTTAGATTAAATAAGTTCGAGTATTATTAAGAAGTATAAAAAATGTCGTTGCATGATGTATTTGAAAAATTTTGAAGTTTAAGACGTTTATTAAGAAGTATATTAAGGAATATTTAAAGTAAATATTCAGTTTTAGGTTATTATTATAGAGAGATATTATTTCAGAAGAGCTTTATAATAATCTCCTGTTGTGTACAGTTTATCAACCAAGAATTTGAATAAAATTTTCGCTGTTGCAAAAGTAAGTTATTTTATGAAAATTAAATCAGTTTTGGCAGACGTTTTGATTGAATTGACAAAATCATTTTAATTAGTCCCTGGTACATATACTTTCAGGAAAACAAACAATTTTGTGCTTTGTTTTCACATTCATTTTGGTGTGACTTACTTTATTCTCACGAGTAATAGCTAAAATGTATTATTATTGTAGATTACCCCTGAGGTGCATTTAGGCATAAGTATTATATTTCTTGTATGATCTCTTATGTAGTGTTAACATATATAATTAGTCATTAACACGTACTATATGTATGGACTCAGTTATTAGGCATTCGGTAATATGCCCGTGTTAAGCTACGCAGAGCTTAAAACAATATGAACAATATATCTTCATGTATTTTTATATATCTCAAAAGCTGAGGGCAGCTTAATCCAGGCGGGAAGGATTGTTACGAAAGTATATCTAAATAGTATAAAAAATAGTTCAATTTGCACCCCAGGAAATTATAGATACTAGTTACGTCAAATGGAGAGATAATGAGCATTTTTGCTGTAAAACTCAGATAAAGTATATATCATTTCGGACGTGCGTAAAAATGTCAATTATCTGTCCATTAGGCAAGATAAATGATTTATCAAACTGTCAAAGTTGGACGATAGCCTTGCATGGTGGGCTGTTGTGTTTACATAATTCAAAGTCCAAGGCTGCTTCTTCTCTGACATGAAAATGTGCATGCTTAGGGCCTTTCTGTCAATCATTCTTAGGTATATTTCGCGCGGTTGAGTAAGAATAACATTACGTCATCAAAATCTTGGTTCAATAAAATTGCAAGTAAATTTAGTTTAGTAGGTAAAGTAAGGTTCACATAAGTATAGTTTGAAGTTTTTACTATGATATTTTGATGAGTATTTTAAGTTGTGAACATATTTTAACATTGATCGATTGAACAGCGAACCAACTCGACCAGTGCGACAACGCCTTAAATAAACAGAATGTGAGAGCTGGAACGAGCTAGCAACGCCAACCCACACTTTTAAACTTCAACGTTGATTGGCTGGATACAAATCACACCACTTGCTACATCACGTGTACAAAGATCCCTCAACCGTTAGCCCAAATTCGTCAGTGGACTCAACGAAGTAAAAATTATGTATGAAAAGTTGTAGAAAGCTCAAACGAAACAAGACAAAACGAAGACATTAACGAACAGATCACGAACAGTGAAAGCCAGTTGAAGACTGAAGTGAACTCATTAAGGAAACTACTACAAGAAGACGAACACTAAAAACTGATAGTTACTAGAGATCGATTGTAAACGATTCCCTACCTCGCGTAGAAAAGAAATAAAATATAAATTTCTAACATACTAACTCGGACAACTATGATCTCACACGACGTAGACGTTATTGATGCAGTACCAGTTAAACAAAACCCATATCGCATAAAACCCTCCAAGCAAGCATCCCTGAACAAAGAAGTACGATCTCTTCTCGAGAACGACCTGATCGAGCCTAGTCAGAACAGCTGGAGTTCACCCTGCATTCTAGTTCCGAAGCCCGACGAAAGTTATCGTACGTGTACGGACTATCGTAAGGTAAACCACCTCACAAAAACGGAGACGTTCCCTATTCCGCGAATGAACGATTGCGTCGATAAAGTTGGTAATGCAAAGTACGTCTCAAAATTTGACCTATTAAAGGTTTTTGGCAGATTCCTTTGAGTGAACGGGCGAAAGAAATCTCGGCTTATGCTACCCCGTATGGTTTGTACCAGTATAAAGTTATGCCTTTTGATATGAAAAATGCACATAAAAGGACAAGACAACTTGATCGCTGATTGTCTTTCAAGACCATGAACACTTGGCGAACACGCTACATTGAAAATAAAGTTAAGAAACTTTCTTTCTTTCAAGGGGGAGGGTGTTACATGATAATGTTTATCATGTAATTTAGCATACAATAATATATTATAATACTATACTTATTCATATTAAATAGCTTACATGCATGAGTAACCAAATAGTTTTAAAGATTAAGACGTAGCGGGCATGACATGGTTTGGCGTTGGCCGATTTGTGGTTACTGAAACTTGCTTCAACGAACTGTATTGCGCAGGGGAAATGAGTCGTAGTTTTGTAGTTTCTTCCCCAAGCAGAGCGTATAAAAGCCTGAGCCACAACTATGCATGAGCATTATTCATAAGGCGAAAGCCTGAATAACATTGCCGTGAAGATATAGAAACTATAAGTTAAGGAACGAATGATTATACAAAGGCGAAAATATATTAAAGATAAAGGAATTGTCAGGAATTGAAGAGTTGTGCTCAGTCGCGAAAAGAGATAAGTTTGAACAGTATTAAAAATTATATTACATATATTAAGGAAAGTTATAGAGATGCTAATTACTGAGTAATATACAAGGCTACAGAAAATAAATACATTATTGAAAGTAATTGGTTTCACAATCTTTGTTGCGAGCAAATGGAACCAAAAGCGCGGCCAAATAAAATAGTAAGGACCGGCTCGTAACAACCCCATATTCAATTCGACGAGAAAACACTGGAAACCCTCACACACATATCGGACATGGACAACATGAACCAAATAATCACCCAACACGTTAAAACAGAACCGAAACAAAAACCTCGATAAATCGCAGGGGAAAAGATCTTAACAAACTAAAATTAACATTGAAACGAAAACGTGATCCCGAAAAAAACCCGTAGGAAGACCCTCCAAATTCCAAACCCTCGCAAAAATAGCAAACAACCCCGTGGAACCTACTGTATACTGCCATGAACTAACGCTATACACATCCGACAAAGAAGTAAAAAAAAAACATATTAACCAAATCACCACAAAATATTGAATGTCACAACGAAAACGAATACCACTCCTACGAATTCATCTCCAAAGAAAGGAAAAGATAAGTAGAAACAATTAAAAAAGAAAAACTAAACATTCTCAATAACATTGAAGAACTATTAAAAATAGGTAGTAGACAAATAAATCTATTCCATACACCTAGTAAAAACGCACAAATGTAAGAAAAAATTATCAATAAAAGCAAAAAAAACCGTACAAAATCACTAAAAACCCTGACAAAAGACTCTCAAAACCCTCTTATACGCGCAAACGCCCGCAGCACCAAAAGGGAATTCTCCTGACGTCATACATATCAGATTACCCATGAAGTCAAACCATCATAAAACATCGCCAAATTCAAACGCCCACTCAGAACGGTCTACCACGGCTTCGGGTCAACACCTCCTTCTACGCTCGACAATGAGGCACTTACAGTAGACACAGCTACGGTCGACCGACACACCCCGACCACTCCCCAAAATAAATTATAATACATTACCCACGTTGCCCCCCCCCCAGTCCAAAAAATACAATTCTGCTGACGCGGCTAATCTATTTTTAGTAACTCACAATACTATTCCCTACAAAAAAACTAGTTCACACCCCCCCCCCCGCTAAAAAAGTGGTTCATATACACTTAACTACTGACGTCAGCAACTATTTTATGAATTATCGCATAACATTTGTCGAGCAAGATGAATTATAGCCTGCGTAGCAGGCGTTTAGTGCGGGCGGAGAATGCGTGCGAAGAATCTTTGGAAAAGCTTCCCATTGGTCAATCTCGTTAACGGGGAGTAATTACGCAACTCAAATGTCAACAATAATTTTACTCTCGTATCGAAAATATGCCGCCTGTTAATATGCTTTCGAGGGAACTCTTATGGATTAATTAATTACAAACCTATTATGGTAATGCTATCATAGCAAATGTAAAGCCTGGTAAACTTTCAGCAGAGGAAGTGTATCGCGACTACGATCTCTACATTAAAACTTAAGAAAGAAGTCTGCTTTGTTGAATGAATGAATATAACGATGCAAAACTTCTGTTGAAACTATTTTTGAAAAACTGTATTTCTTGTGTTGTCTGTGATCAGTGAAAAATTATGCAGGTTATTTGTGCCATTGCCCTATATTTCCAGTGCCTATGACTTAAAATTCTCACTTGCAGGGGCGGATCTAGGGGTTGTCAAATAAGTCACGCGACTAAGGTAAAAATTGCGCAGATAATTAATATTCATAAAATTGTCCATTACTCCAGTTGTAATCCTTCCTGCAGTGACAGCAAATGTAATTAATATTCACAATAGTCCAGTTATCAAGTTTCATTCAGCGGCTGTTAGCTCAGTGGCCTTGACTCACTTGAGGCAGATTCTAGCCATTTGATTGGTCAAGAATGGTTTTGCCTCATCTTCGTGGGGGTCTGCCTTATTTACGTCATCTATGAGGTATCTGATTGGCTGATTGAAGGGGAATTCTCTTCTCTCATTGGTTCAACTTTTTTGCCTCATCTTCGTGGGGGTGTGCCTTATTTGCGCAACATTTGAACTTCTGATTGGTCGAAAAAGACGAAATTATCTTCTGTGATTGGATCATTTTTTTGCCTCATCTGATTCATTCGCCAGCATGGGGTATGCAGCAGTCAGCAACATAATAAAGTCTTTCTGCTTGCCTCTTGCTTGAAACGAATTGTTTAATTCAAATTGCGAAGGTGCTACTCAGTTTACATTGCTCAATTACTCATTACGACAATGTATAGTTACGAGACTGTCAAGTCTGCGTTTGTAGACAACGATCTTGAGTCTATAAGAAAGGTGAACGAATATATGTTGAAGCAAATCGGTGCTTCAAATACAAAATCTATGGATGAGCTCTTAGACGCTATCTATGACACCAAATCCAGTCTGGCTAGGAATTTTGGTGCAGAGATTTTTATACCAGCATTTGCTCATCAACAACAGAAGAAGTGTACAGCAATAAGGTAAGGAGATTATATGTATATATTGGTTCTTAGTAAGTGTGTTTATCACGCCAGTAAAAGCCGCTTGGGCGCCTTGTATAAATTTGCATTTTTCTGCGCGATTGGTCAAGACAGTTCAAAGGTTATTTATATCATTGTATCGTGCCAACAATGCACAAGCCATTGGGTCGCTTTTATATTCCTAATAATCGTTCATATTAGCATTGTTTGTATCGGGTAAGGTTTTATTGATGTATTTGTTCGCTTGAACCGGTAATTACAGCACATGCCGCATGGTCTGGTGTTTATGCTGTTTTGTAATACGATATCTTGAATTCATATCAACATATTTTTACCTTCCTGTCAGCACAACATGAATTATATCTGCTAGAATTTTATGTGAACAATTTATATTTATAGTAGTATACTTTAATATTTAACTTATTAATTTATACATTATTTTTTGTTCCTTCAATTCACTTAGGTCTGAAGCTTCTGGCAATTGTTTGTATAGTTCTGTGTCTCTGGTACTGGTAGGTGATAACAGTTTAGTGAAAATTTTGAGGATATTAACCTCAGTTGAGCTTTTTATGAATGCGAATTTTTATTCTGAACACCCTTGCTTTTTGTCTGCTGTGAACGAACATAGTGAATACTTTAGGAATTCTATTAACAATCTTTTACCTTTGTCTGTGTCTATGGAGTGTTTAGATACAGATTCAACCAAGGATAACTTGGTAGAGCAGGTAGCTATTTTAAATTGTGGTGATAAGAAATGGTCATCATTTTTATGTATTCTAGGTCTTTCGTCTGTTTTACGTAGAAATATACATACTTACTACCCTGATGCTGGTGCGGATAGATAGAAATTGTTTTTTAATAGGCTAGTTCAGCCACGCCAGAATCCTCAGAAAGGTGTAGATGATATTCATATTTTATTTTGCCATGAAGGTGATATTAAACCTGGAGAAGCTTTCCAGCCTAATCATTTTGTACCTCTTCGTTTTCATTCACACAAGCATAAACGGAAATGTTCTGCAGATTCACAGATTTCAACAGTAACAAAGAAGCAGGAAATGGTCCCTATTTTTCCCAAACGAGCAATAACCAAGAAGCAAAAACTGACCCCTATTTTGCCAAAGAAAGCATCAAATAAAGCGGATGCTAATATATTAAATTTTTTCACTATAGCGGACAAGCCCACTGTTGTTGTCAATCCTGCATGCCAGAAGGCCCCTAATGAGACTTTTTCTTCTGCCACACAACTTGATGCTCATAAATTAGACGAGTTTGCAACACCAAACTCCACTTCTCAACATTCGTCAACTAAAACACAACAAAGTACTACTTCTCTTCCAGCAACAAATATGGTACAGACTTTTGCAGAGGTAAAACATGATTTTACCCCTAATTTTGATTGATGTTGCATTGTATAGGGAGAAGGTTAAAGGTATGGATACCTCTGAAATTTGTAATTTAATTAAACATGTCTTTAAGCCAGACAAGCATTACTCTTTTCCTAAGACCAGTGGCAGAAGTTTTAGATATAATTGGTTCAGCTTATATTCCTGGCTTTGTTATTCACCTTCCAAAGATGGTGGGTACTGTTTATCATGTGTGCTATTTGGAGATCGTTTTCCTGGTAAGGCCGGGAAAATCCAGAAATTATTTTCTGAACCCTTAACCTATTGGAACAATGCTACCTTTACTTTCAAACGCCATGCTGGGCATGGGGCAGGGGGGGGGGAGGGGGAGAATGGGATTACATGCTTGTACATTTTCAATTTTAACATCATTGCTTGCCCAAATGTCAGGGACTGCACAACCCATTGAAGTAATTGTAGATACTAACCTTAAAAAAGAGGTTGAGGAAAATAGGAGCAAACTAGCTCCAATTATCGATACTGTTCTTTTTTGTAGCCGCCTTGGTTTGCCGTTGCGTGGGCATCGTGATGATGCTAAATATCACCCGGAAGTGGGCAGCTATTCCACTGGGGGTGTTGGTAATTTTGTTGAATCACTTAATTTTAGAGTTCGAGCAGGGGATAAAATTTTAGAAGACCATTTGAAAACTTGTGGTAAGAACAGAAGTTACATTTCAAAGACAAGTCAGAATAAGATAATTAATTGTTGTGGTCAGGTGATCAGTGAAAAGATCATAAACGATATAAAGGAAAGTAAGTTTTTACTATTATTGCTGACGAGGCTGCAGATTCTTCCCATAGAGAGCAAATGTCCCTTGTTTTACGTTTTGTTGATACTGATATGAATATCAGAGAAGAATTTATTGCGTTTCTACACTGCAAATGGGGATTAAGTGGTGCCCAACTTGCTAAACTTGTACTAGAAGCTTTAAATTATTTAACTTTATCTATTGAAGATTGTAGGGGACAAGGTTATGATGGTGCAGGTTCTGTTGCAGGGCACATCAATGGATTGTCTGCACATATTTTAAGGCTAAACCAGAAAGCCCTTTATACACATTGTTACAGTCAGACTAAATTTAACTGTTTGTGACTCTTTAAATATAGTAAACACCATGCTGAAACATGTAAACGAGGTTTCTCATTTTATCAACATATCTCAGACGCGTAATATGCCTTTTGAAGATATCATAAAGACCCATAGTTCTGATACAGAAAGCAGAAAAACGAAGTTGGGTGATGTTTGTCGAACTAGATGGGTTGAGCGTATTGAAGGTTTGGATACATTCACAGAGCTTTTTGTCCCATTACACTATACACTTGAAGCTATGAAAACTAACTCAGCGGGTGAGTATAATCCGTCTCTTTCTAGTGATGCATCCTCCCATCTAACACGTATTTTAAAGTTTGAATTTGTTGCAGCTTTAGTTATTACCAGACATATTCTTGATGTCACTCTTGATGTTACAAAATTATTACAAGGGAAAACTATAGATATAATGGATGGCATTCATCTGATTAATAGTTTAAAAGATAATATAATTTTAATGAGGAATTCTGTTGATAGATACCATAATATTTGGTATGAAGAAGCTTTGCAATTGGCAATTAAAGTTGGTCTTGAAGAGTCAAAGCCACGGACAGTGGGGAGACAAACTGCTAGGGCAAACCACCCATTCAAGACCATTTCTGAGTATTACAAACGAACCATCACCATCCCGTTTATTGACCATCTTCATTCATCTCTACAAGCACGATTTGATATTGATAGTGTTAATGTTTACAAAGGGTTAAGTATTGTTCCTTCCAAAATGTTATCTTTAACTAGGGATGGAATTGACTGGATAGAGGAATTTAAGACTCTTGCTACTTTTTATTATGATGATTTGCCCAATCCCTTAGCATTAGATGCTGAGCTGTCATTGTGGGACACATACTGGACGACATTTGAGGGACCCTGCCCTTCTAACATAGCCACGACATTGAAAGCTGTCCGATTTGAAGGTTTTACAAACATTAAAGTTATACTTCGTATTTTAGGTACACTTCCTATTACTTCTTGCGAGTGTGAACGCTCTATTTCAGCACTTAGGACACTCAAAGATTATAAGAGAAGTACTATGGTTGAAGAACGCCTGAATGGTCTGGCTTTGATGAATATTCATCAAGAAATTATTCCAGATACAAGAAAGATAATTGATAAATTTTCTGTTGGAAACACTAGGTTAAAATTTAGTTTCTTAAATACACATTACATCTTTTGAAAAATATACAAGTTAAACTATTAACATTACGAATAATATAACATATATGATGACCATGGTCCATGGAGACCGACAATTGTATCATTCAAGTATACTCTTTTTGGATTTAAACGTAATTCTGTTACGTAGATCCATCAATCCTTTTAAGCATCACCATGTAGCAGTAAAGACTTGACAAGTCTTATCAGTATCTGAACTGCTTGCATTCCTGCATTCACGTTAGAACTTTGACCAATACACAAGCCAAAATACAATTAATTAATAAATACAAACTATAAGCCGTATCTTTCCAGATGCACGGCCAACCTTATTATATTACTCTGTCAAACGCTAGATGATTTTACTCGTCAAGGGGAGAGCCTTCTTGCAGCTTATTAATGAGTTAGAACTTTTTTGGAGAATATAGTGGGATGAGTTTGATTAGGAATAGGACATACATAGTTAGGTTAGTAATAGCGGGAGTGAGGGAGAGGTAAAGGCCTAAAGGGTTAGAATTGACTTGGGATGGTGTGAAGATCACATCCATGAAATCTCCCATATGGTCACCCATTTCTAACCAAATTCCTTTTTCTTCTTTCAAAAGGTGTGAAGGCGGGTATCTGGCGCCATAACCAGATCAACATATATACATAGTTAGGTTAGTTATAGCGGGAGTAAGGGGGGGGGGGTAAAGGGTTAGAATTGACTTGGGATGGTGTGAAGATCACATCCATGAAATGTCCCTTATTGTCACCCATTTCTAACCAAACTCCCTTTGCTTCTTTCAAAAGGTGTGAAGGCGGGTATCTGGCGCCATAACCAGATCGCTTGTTCGGCCTTTTCGAAGGCTGTCCATGTCGGATTACACTTTCCTATGTTTGGTAAATGTGTTTCCTAGGCATGCTGATGAGCCCTGATATGGGGCGAAACAGTCGTTTATGTACTTAGCGTTGTCACTAGCGATCCGTAATTTGATAAAATGAAACATCTTCCACAATGATCATATTTCTGCAAGTACTTCTCTTTTAGTTTTCCCTAAGGAGCGAGTTGTGAGAGTTAGTGAGGCTGAAAATTGCTATAATTGTGTCCCATTTCATGACGCTAATTTTTTGTTGAAGCTGCTCTCAGAGTGCTGCAAATGGCATTTCTGAGGTTCAAAATTTAAAAATTTCCTGGGGGGGGGGCATGGCCCCAGACCCCCCTAGCGGTCTCGCGCCTTCGGCGCTCGCACGTGTACTTTTTTAAGTTTATAAATTTGACTAACGTAAAAAAAATCCTGCGTCCGCCCCGGAGTTTCTGAACAGATGTGCCCCCTCCAAAATACTTCCTTCTGTGTATGAACCATGGTCCAAGGCCAGAGTTTCACTTTTTTTTAGTGGGGTGCAAGCGGCGCCACTGAGCGAGCTTCGGGAGGGAAGTGCTACCGCCAGTACGTACTGTGGCCCCAGAGGCCGATGGGTTAAGGGAGCAAAGCCCCTGGAAGAAATAAAAAGTAAAAAATATCTACGCAGCGCGTACATGTGTTGCCATATCAATATAAAGAAGATGGTGGCGAGTCAGGAAATTCTGAGCTCCTTGTGCTTGCCAAATTCAAGTTCAAAATCCGGAAATGAAAACGACCAAATCGATAGATTATCTTCAAGAAACAACTTACTTGTCGTCCGTGGCCCTCGGCTCTCATGGAAGGGACATATAGAGGAATTATTACGTGTAGTGTTTGAAGCTGATGGCGAAATGGAAATCACCAGGTGCTAATGTAAAAAATATTTTCTAGTTCAAGTGAGGAATTGGTCTTCAAATGGCAGGGTTTGAAAAGAAAGAAGATCGAGATCGTAAAAGATCGTGACAATGAACTTTTAAATAGCCATGCCCATGAAGTGCCATGCCCATGAAGAAACTAAAGCGACAGACAACAAAATTCTAGAAGAAACGTTTTACATTTTAATAGTGGCAATCACAGTGTTTCAGATATAAAAATTCGAGCCCTCTGTCCCATTTCTAGTAGCCGCAAGAAAAACATGAAATGCGCTTCATTTCCAAACTTGCACTGTTCACCCCCTATGGCATTAATAAGGGCTCCTGCTACCAAAAGAATTAAAAAAAATTCAAAACATATTTTTGTCTTAAAATCATTAGTATGTGTAGATGTCTGTGAAAGCAAAAATAGGCCTGGTAGAACTTTGCTTTCTCACAGAGTTTCATCTTTTTGAAAGGGTAGGTTCCATCTTTGTTGTTTGTGGGCGGTTTGAATTTTTTTGCTGATTATGCAAATGCACAACCTAAGGGACTGGTAACAAGTTAAGGCCTGGTCGCATAGCTATTCTAGACTACATTTCCCTTCAATGTTCGAAAACATTGCTATATAGAGCTGAAAACGCATCAAAGATTCACACTTTGTCTGTATTTTATTTTATTTTGTTGCTTATTGGTGTGTCTGAAAATAGTCTCTTAGAGATTATATTTTCTTTGCAATGTCAGAAGTATAAAAAAGTGGCGATTTCGTGGCCAGACTCGATGGGATGTTGACACAACAAATTCAAACAACAGCAACCTTTCATCTCCACGTGTGTCTACACCAGTGCTTGAAACAGCTTGTGTACGAAAGGTAACGAGTCAGAGTAATGAAAGAAGCGATGATTTTGATGGGGCACACAGCTATAGACTGATTGAGCTGTCAAATTTAGTCAGTGCGTTTCAGTCTTTAGATAATTGCCAATCTGGAGCATTTGAAAGTAAGCGAAGACGAGGCCCGTAGATATGGGAATAGCTCTGTGATCAATGTAGAGTGTTCCAAATGCGACGTCAAGATCGAGCTTCAAACCTCTGGGAACAACAACAAAGTGTGGAAACCACAAAATGCCATGGACACAAACAGGCGTATGGTTTACTCAGCAATGGAGATGGGTGTAGGAAGAGAGGCTATGTCAATTATGTATGCCATTTTAAATATCCCCCCCCCCCCTTGCCACCATAAAGCTTGGGACCAACATGTTGCTGCACTGTATGTGGCCCACAAGAAAGCTGTTATTACGTGGTCCAAACGAGGATACACAGCTAATTTCGGGGTTGGTTTTGTCATCTCGGTTGAAACTGGCAAAGTGCTTGATTTCGATTTTGAGTCGAAGCTGTGCTCAGAAGGATCTTGGTGAAGATTCTGCCGAGTATGCCATTTGGTACGGTGTGTAAAGAAGGATCTTGGTGAAGATTCTGCCGAGTATGCCATTTGGTACGGTGGGCATAAAGATGAGTGCACCCAAACCCATACTGGATCAAGTGGTTCGATGGAGTGCTCAATAGCCAAAAAGATCTGGGACAGATCTAAGGATAGTAACTTACATTACAAATTCATGATCAGTGACGGTGACAGCAAAGCCGATGGAAATATCTGGGATACTTACGGTTGCTGCGAGGATTGTGCGAACTGGAAAAATATGGATAAGCGGTCGAAAGAGTACAAGAAATGGCGCGAGTCAAAGGAATGAGGTGTGGAAAGAATCTCATGAAAGCGGAAAGGCTGAGTGTGCAAGGGTCTCCAAGGTAGATTGCATTGGCCATGTCCAAAAAAGAATGGGGACACACTTGCATGAGCTAAGAAAACAGCAGCTTCAGCTGAAGGATGGGAAGTCAGTAAAGGGAAGTAAATACCAACTGGCGGACAAAATTCATGATAAGTTACAAACATATTATGGAAATGCCATCAGGGCAAATGTGAAGCCAGGGACATAACTCCACAAGAGCAAAAGGAGCAAATTGAAGTTATGCAAAAGGCTATATTGGCTGTTCTCTACCACACTTGTGAGATTAGTAACAACAAAGAGAGACATAAATATTGTCCACCAGGGCCAGATAGCTGGCGCTCTTATAGGAGAGATGGTACTCTCAAGAGGAACGATCACCATTTAGATGCTGTTTTTCTAGATTTCCTTCTACCCGTGTTCCAACGCCTCAGTGTATTCCCTGTTGCTTCGCTGTCTTCCTGGGTATTCGCAGAATGCGGATGAAAGCCTCAACAGCCTTGTTTGGAAAAAGATAACACGAGGATGGCAGATTCGGTAAGACAGGCAGCAGCGAAAGAGAAAGAAGGAAAAGAAGGCAAGCTAAGCTGGCAGCAAATGAATGCTCTTATGCCAGTGGCATGTTTAATGATGTGGATCCACTTGACTTTGACCCTTCATCATCATCATCATCAGATGATGATGTTGAAGATGACTTTGATGATGAAGATGACTATCCGTTAGCCAGATTTGCTCATAACGATGAGTCTGATGACAGTGATGATGCACTATTGGCTCAATTTGCCAGTAGAGAGCAAGAAAAGTGACTGTGACATTCTTGTAATGATAAGTGTTGACTTTGGACAGGTACATTGCACCCACACATCAAAAAACAATAGCAACATTGTTTACTAACTTTAAATGGCGTTTTCCCCAAAACCGTACTTTGGCTAGCAGCTGTTAATTAAATCCTATCTTCTCAAAGAGTATTTAAGCAATCTTGCTGATTTTTTCCGAGATTAGTATATGTAAAAGTTTAAGAAAGCAAAAATATATCTTTTAGAGCGTTCCTAGCCCGCGTGCAGGCCCAAGGGAACTTGATAGTGGGCCTGCAAGCAAGGCCCGGTATTTTGTAAAACGCCCCTTTTCATAACACGCCCCATTCGCGCGTCAATTGTCAAAAAAGAACCAATGACAGCACCCAAATATTAACAAACAAACTCGGATTAAAATGTTGCGGGGTTTTCTCTGCTTATTCAGAACATAAACAATGTGTAAATGGCTGCGTTTTAACTCCAAAACAGCAAGCAACGCAGTCAGTAATTGCCAAATTTGCAAGTGCTAATTTTCAACTAAAATCGGAACAGGCGAATTAGGACGAATTTCAACAGAAAACTAGTCTCAAACTTCAAATCGTGAGGGAAGTCGTGCGACCACATTAGCATTTATATTATGCGTGCTTCGCTGTCGCCATTGGCATTGTTATAAATAAATTGTCTCACTTATCAGATCGTGTGTGCAATTCTTGTTGGCGGCGGAAAGTACGAAATTTATTTCAGTTATTTCATTTGGTAAAGAACTCTACAAAAGAAGAGAGCGTTCAGAGTCCAGATCGTTTCGTTTCAAACGGCAATTTAAATATACCGTCTTCTGTTTCGTTCTCTCAGCGAAGCCTTGTAAATCGCACTGAAGTGTTTCGAATAGACTTACATGCAATTGCATCTCAACATCAAGCAAAAGATCATTTTCTTCAAGAAAATTTCTTGAGGAACATGTAACGTATCAAGTCTGTTTGAAATTAATGAAACTCAAGTAAAGGTTACTATAGTTTACCCCAGTCGTAATGTTGCTATGCCAACAACTCACGACAAGCAATCCCCATTGGCATAACGGCAAAAACATCTCTTCCTTCTAGTAAACAATAAACAGTCTGTTCTTGTTCCATTTATAATCGAAAAAAGTGATCAATTTTCGAATTTTGAGCTTATCGAGAGCCTTTGTGATGAATCACTGACCTAATTATAGAATCCAACAGCAAACAGCCAATCAGAATGCCGCGTTCGTGGGCGAACGCGGAAAGTACAAAATACCGGGCCTTGCTTGCAGGCCCACTATCAAGTTCCCTTGAGCCTGCTCCCTTGGGCCTGCACGCGGGCTAGAGCGTTCCTTTCTCTCAAAATTTCATCTTTTTGAAAGGGTAGGCAACCATCTTTCTCGTTGCCATGGAAACGGATTTGTGTTTGTTGTTTGTTAGGCCGTGTAGCTTGGTTGTTTGTGCGTAGTTTGACATTTTTTTGCTGATTATGCAAATCTACAACCCAAGGGACTGGTAACGATATTCAGGCCTGGTCGCATAGCCATTTTAGACCAAAATTTCCTTCCTTGTTCGAGAACTTGGCTTTTAAGCTGAAAACACATCAAAGATTTACATTTTATCGGTATTATATTTTATTTTGTTGGTTATTGGTAACTGAAAGTTGTCTCTTAGAGACTATAGTTCCTTTGCAATGCCGAAACCCTCGAAAAAGAGGCGATTTCGTGGCCAAAGATGGGATGGTTCTGTACCTGTTTCAAATTCAAACAACAGCAATCTTTCATCTCCATGTGCGTCTACACCAGCGATTGAAACAGCTTCAATGCGAAAGATTACCAGTCAAAATACTGAAAGAAGCGAAGATGTCGATGGTGCATACAGCTATAGACTGATCGAATTGTCAAATTTAGTAAGTGCTTTTCAGCCTTTACACGAATGTGAATTTGGAGGAGAGTTGAAAGTTGGTGATGACGAGGCTCGTAGGTATGGAAATAGCTCGGTTATCAACATAGAATGCTCTAAATGCGAAGTCAAGATTGAGCTTCAAACGTCTGGAAACAAGAGCCAGGCATGGAAACCTCAAAATGCCATGGACACCAATAGGCGAATGGTTTACTCCTCAATGGAAATGGGAGTAGGAAGAGAGGGAATGTCTGTGTTGTGCGACGTTTTCAATATGCCTCCTCCTTGTCATCATAAAGCTTGGGACAACCATGTGGCTGCACTGTATGAGGCACACAAACAAGCTGTTGCAGAACAGTTACAGAAGGCAAGAGATAAAGTTTTTGCACGCCATAGTTCTGACGAAACAGATGTTGCAGAGATCGCAGTTAGTTATGATGGCACATGGTCGAAACGGGGATATACAGCAAATTTCGGGGTTGGTTTTGTTATCTCTGTTGAGACCGGTGAGGTACTTGACTTTGATTTTGAGTCGAAGTTGTGCAAAGAGTGCGAAACTACAAAAAGAGACCTGGGTGAAGATTCATGTGAGTTTGACATCTGGTATGGTGGTCATAAAGATCAGTGCACTCAAACTCACACTGGTTCAAGTGGATCTATGGAGTGCTCAATAGCCAAAAAGATATGGGACAGGTCTAAGGACAGAAATTTACAATACAAATTTATGATCTGTGATGGGGATAGTAAGGCATATGGAAGTATCTGGGATACCTATGGCTGCTGTGATGATTGCGAGAAATGGGAGAAGATGGACAAGCGTTCAGCTGAGTACAAGAAATGGCGTGAGTCGAAGGCTTATGAGGTGTGGAAGGAAAGTCATGAGAGTGGAAAGGCTGAGTGTGCAAGAGTTTCTAAGTTGGATTGCATTGGCCACGTCCAAAAAAGAATGGGAACTCACTTGCGGGAACTGAGGAAAAGTAAACCAAAGTTGGATGATGGAAAGTCAGTGAAAGGCAGCAAACACCGACTTACAGATAAAACCATGGATAAGCTGCAAACCTATTATGGAAATGCAATCAGGGCGAATGTCAAACCAGGTAAATTGACTCCTGAAGAACAAAAGGAACAAATAACAATAATGCAAAGAGCTATTATGGCAGTTCTCTATCACACATGTGAACTCAATAACAAAGAGCGACACAAATACTGTCCACCGGGACCAGATAGCTGGTGCTCATATAAAAGGGATGGTACACTTCAGAGGAAAGATCATCATTTAGATCCTGTGTTTTTAAATTTTCTTCTTCCAGAATTCAAACGCCTCAGTGAGTATTCTCTTTTGCTTCGTTGTCTTCCTGGGTATTCACAGAATGCAAACGAAAGCCTCAACGGCCTTGTTTGGAACCGTGCTCCTAAACACCGGTATAAAGGTGCTCATGTTGTGGAAACTGCTGTCATGTCTGCTATCCTTTCATTCAATGCTGGTGCTGCCTCAAGGCAGGATGTTATGAAAGCAGCAAACATTCCAGGTGGTGCGTTTACCTTAGAAGGGTGTACAGCCAAAGACGAGAAGAGGATGTCGCACTCGGTCAGAAAGACAAAGACGAAAGAGAAAGAAAGACGAAGGAAAATAAGGCAAGCCAAGCTTGCAGCAAACCAAGGTGAAACATCATATGCCAGTGGTATGTTCAATGAAGTTGACCCTCTAGACTTTGATGCTTCATCATCTGATGACGATGATGATGATGACTATCCGTTAGCGAGACTTTTGGATTCTAATGAATCTGAGGACAGTGATGATGCACCATTGGCTGAAATCATTAGTAGAAATCAACAAAAGTGACAGTTTGACATTCTGGGACTGTGAAATGTTGAATTGGGACAGGTATATTGTATCCATATATCAGGAAATACTAGTGATATAGTTTACTAACTTTAACTGCTGTTTTCTCAAAGACCGCAATTTGGTTAGACTGCGAGCAATCCCTAATAAATAGAGGGATTGCCGCTTTAACTAATTGTCAAGCGTGTTTGATTAAGCTCCGCCTACTTGTTTATATTTCAAAACAGGGTCAAAAACATCTCTTGAAAGGCGCGATCTCGAATGACTCAATTCGCTTAGTGTAAAACCATCAAACAACGTGTATTTAAATTCTCAAATTTCAGTTTGGCAAGTATGAATATTCATAATCAGAATTTGTCTGGCAGAAAAACGTATAAAGCAAGGCAAGGGGTCTTAGGGTTTATTGAAGGTTCTATTCTATAGACTGTGACTTTCTGCGACAATATTTTGATATATATTAATAGTTTACAGTAATAAAAAATTACCAACTTAATACAGCTATTCAGCTGAATTACATGCAGGTTAAGATTTACAAGGAGTGTTTGTAATTTACGTTAGTTAAAACGTGCGAATGTACCCGCTGCTGAGATGATTTGTTTTTATTGTACTTGCATCCGACCGAGATAGTAGAATATGCATCGCCCGTTTTTCATTACGGAATCCCAAATTACCTGAGTAAATAAAGACATTGAACGGATACAGAAATCATTGAAGATCCAAATCACAAACTTCGCGGCACTATTGCCGGATTTGAACTCAATTTACTCAAATACTGTACTGTCTGCACATTAATCCCTGAGGACTTTCCAATAATTAAGACTAATAGATACATGAACACATTCATAATCGCAAGTTCTACATGTAAACGTTTTAATTCATAGTTCATAGTTTTAGCATTCGTATATATACGTACATTTGCATGTTTCCA